CAGGCTGTGTGGCCCATGGGCCACGTGCAGGTCGCGCCAGGCCAGCCAGACCGGTGCCCGGGGGGGACACCAACTTGGTAAGTTGTTGCCTGGGTGCTTGCCTAATTGTCACGAGGTGCCACGTGTCGCAATTTCACTGGAGGGCCAAATCTGCCCTCATCACCATACAAGATTTGTAAAGATTTTTCTATCTTTTTCTTTCATTTCTCTACTTTTTCCTTTAAACCAAACACAATGTAAAAGTATACTGAACAGATGGAAAATCTTTGGCTGTTCGGGAGCTTCCTGACATGTTTATCCCATTCAATTCCTTACTTGTCTTTTCAACTAAAAGAATATCGGTTGCAAATACTCATCAGTCTTCACCCCGCACGTAAAGAGTGCGCAAAAAGCTATATATATGGCCCAGGCTGTTTTCTCCAGTGAGTCATATCAAGAAATTTCCAGAGTTCCCAAAGAATAAAAAGAAGAGAAAATAGATATCTTCAGAGGAGTAAATAAGGGATCAATGATTCAGCACATGAATGCATCCTAAACTAGAGAATGGCAGGTCGAGCAGTGCACATGCGAATGGGATGCATTCAATAAGGCTAGAAAAAGRGGAGACTGGAGAGAAACAAGAACATGGGCTTAACAGCTAATTAACTACTTTATTTTATAGTAATCTCGGTTGCAGGAATTTATATATCTCACAAAATTTTACTTTCTTTTCTTGAATTATCACTTTTTTTTCATTCTGGATTGTATTGTAAGTCCTTTAATAGTAAGGGTCAATTTGATTCACAATTGAAACCGGAATCAAAATCCCTTAAAATCAAAATCGGAATGATCTATTCTTATAGTCTGTTTGGTTTAGACAGGATGCACCGCTAAGCATCACTTCTGGAACCAACCAGCTAATACCTTTTTGGCTCGGAAACACCTATTTACAGGTGTTTGGGGACCCTCTTTTTTAATGAAAAACATATATAAATTCTTATCCAGAAAAAAAAAACTAAAAAATATAAAAGCATAAGGTTTTTTTAGTACCGATACGCCTCTGGCTATAAACGGGCATATGATACTTAACTTTGCATTTAACAAAATAATCATTGGGCCCTCTTCTGCGAAGCATACTTAACATGGGCCTTAAGACCCCACTTTGATAATTGATATACGTTGAAATCTTTGAGCGGAATCGACGGGAGAAGTCCAGCAAAAGCAAAAGGATATTCTGGTAGATGCAGTGCAGACGGCACAAAAAGAATAAATCCTGGGACATTTTTGTCGGCCATGATCACTTAGGCATATAGTAGAAAGTAGACAGTAGAATCATGTTTGAGTTCCACTGTAGTCCCYATCGATCGATCGCAAGTCCTTACGACCACGAGAGTAGTGCTATAACTATTAAGCAACCATTTGATGTGAACTAGTGAATTATAAACCCCCGCCCCCCTGATTCTTGCATGTCACACTCACACTCAAACATGGTCTGCTTCATAAAATATCTACAACCAAAGAGGCCCATATTTATATGGACCATTTTGACATGGAATTAAAAAAAAAAAAAACAACAAACAGAATCAAGGTTCAAAAAACTGTTATGTATTGGTTGATACATATCGTTCCGGGACTTTTTTTATACATCTTTACAGTGGGTGTATCGAGAGTCTGATCGATTCAGAGGGTGAAGGAGTTCTAAACCGATTTAAAAAAAAAAACAGTAAAAAAAATGAAGTATTAATTCACTAGATATGCTTCTACCGATATATCGAACATATCGATATTTTGAACCTTGACCGCTTAAACTCAACCGACAGTCCTGTTCATCTCTTTCTTTTCATATGCTGGGCAGCAGAAGAGGACAAGAAGAGAGTATCCATTGAAAAAATAAATAAATAAATAAATAAATACAACAACAACTACTACTAAACCATAATAACCCAATGGTATTATAAACTAGTCAAATTTAAACTACTAACAGATCAAATTGATTGGTGAAATATATCAGATCAGGCAGATAATATCAAGTAAACGCATCTTTTCAGATCAACAGTTGCTAAACTGTTTCTATCGTTTCTTACAAAGACTGGTCTGTGGTTGCGGTGCCCTAACATGCATCTAAAACCTCCAAGTGCTCCGGGATCAACTGATGATGGAAAAGTCATGCAAGAGCCCATGTGCCAGAAAGTAGCTCCTAGTCCTCCTCTATGATTAAAGCCGACATCAACATATGAAATAGTAGTCGATATCAAACAAGGTTACCATCAGGATGAGACAATTTAAAACCTGCTACTAAATTTCTATAGGACCACATGCCTTAATAATACAGAGCAAATTAACTAAAACTATTCTTCATGTGTCAGGGATTTTCTTTTTTTATTTCGTATGGGACCAATTCATAGAATTCTTCTTCTGTATCAACCTAGCTATTGCCAGGCAATTGCAATCGGATACCTGTAACTAAATGTCCAAGATCAATAACCCATTTGGAACTCCAACTGTGTCAAGGGTTTCTCCAGCCGCCCACATGGACCACATACATAAAATCAAAAAACGAACACAGAACTGTAAATCAATGCACCCTTTGCCATATTAGTAGTGAGATGGGCGGAAAATTCATGTTTTCACATGCAAATGTGAAAGAACAAGTGTCTTACTTATTTGTTGCACGTGAGACTTCTACTGATAAGTGGAACTTATTTTTTCCCTTTGTTCAAAAGTGTGTTTATCCCAGCATTATTCCGCCTGGAAATGTTGGGAATCTGGAAAGAAAAGAAACAGATGAATTTTTAATAAAAAACAGACATGTGTGATATTTACACGTAGAGACATCGACTTTTCTATGGTAATGGATGGGGTTCTTGAGTATATTGATTCAAACGTTAAACCGATAATCTTTCAGATTTTGCATACAAGGCTGAGTTGAGTTTAGCTGAATTCCAGATTTTATGCATATGTACTATTTTTTTTTTTCAACAAAGTTTCTTCAAAAAAATCACCAGAGCTAAGATCTACTTGTTAGATTTCCACCAAAGTTCAAAATATCGATACATTCAATATGTCGGTAGGGGCTTATCGGGCAAATCAATACCTTTTTTCTAATTTTTTTTATTTTTTTTCAAAACCAGTTCAGGGGAGAAGGGTTTAGGATTCCACTCCCTGAACCGGTCAGACCCCCGATACACCCACTGTAGGGGCGTATTGGAGAGGTCCCGGAATGATACGTATCGGCCAATACAGGCTGATATGCAAGGATTTTTTGAACCTTGATCTCCACAACTACTTTGGAATGCTAGATCAGAAACAACCTGTGGCTAAAATTTATGCAAAAGGCTTTCAATATGAACAGTGTTGATACACTCCAGAGAAATTTTTTTATAATTTGGAACAGAATGTGACATGGTGCGCACATGTTATCATATGATCTGGGTATTCTAAAGAGAGTCGTACAAGTTTCTTTTATGAAAACAAATTTTAAATGGAAAAGTACCAATACACCCGATGCAGAATTCTGAATTCCAGCCCCCCCCCCCTACTAATAGCCTCTCCCCCTTATAAACCACATCCTGCCCGTGAATTTGGCATCAATTCACGGTCAGGATGCATTCCCCCTGTACTATGGGGCTATAAAATTCTGATCTGGGCTGATTGGTCATTCTCCCAATTTTAAATAACTTTGATATTCACAATGCACACCAAAGAAAACGGTAGCCCTTAGAATAAGCTCAACTAAATGCAGAAATGATGCGGCAACGCCAAAGGGTTTTACTTTTCTCCATGTTGGGTGGAGGGGGACACATGGTCATACCAGTATGGCCTTCATATAATGCAAGAATGACATACTAAGACTTGCTCTCCACCATTGTCGAAACTGAGGCTGAATGCAGGAAGTACAAACTTTTTGCAGCTGAGTTTTTTTATTGGTAATAACTTTATTAGATTTTTAAAATTTTATATATAAAAAAGGAATGGACATTGTCAAGGTCTCTTGCCTATGACACTAAATTCTCTCAAGAAACATCCCTTTGCACTCCTATAGCTATGTATCAACCAAGCTATTTGAGCCTATAAGATTGTTCTCAGCTATCTGGCCAAGTATTATGTTCCCACGCTTGAGAGAATTGCTTGACCGTAGGACTTGCAATAGTGCTATGGATGTGCCCCTGTTGAGTCACCATATCCTAAAGGTCCAGAGATGACCCAGATTATTTCCATGACAATCTGAGTACTCAATTCCTGGTTCTCTTGGATTTACCATGGCCATCAAAATTCATTTTGATTAAGTTGGAAGGTGCCRGATTTCTAATGGATGCCATGTGATGATGTTGCAATGGCTTGCCATCATCGAATTATGACATCAATTTTTGCAGATACGTTGGCATGAATTTAGATGGTTTTTGATAACTGCTGAAATAGGAGCTGAAAGTGGAATGTTGAAAATTTTTCAAATCTAAAAATGTTAATTCAGCATCTCACCCTACAAAATTTCTGAATGATGCAAGCATGGGGGTTACCATTTTACTCCTAAAGTTTTTATTATATGATATCCCTGAACTGAAAAGCCTTCAACCCCTAATTGTAGACACAACAAGAATTGACTAATGTTTCACAAAAACATTGGCTTAAAGTGCTTATAACCCAAAATTCCTTACCTCCCCCCAAACAATTTTGCTAAATTTCTAACTAGTTAAAATGTCCCTTCACTTCCTTTGAAAATCCACCATTTGAGATCTGAAAGTCTGAAATTTCTCCAAAGTCATCACTATCAATGAAGCACATCAATCTAAAAGAAAGTTCTACTGATAAAGGATCGATCAATGGAGAGTAGAACTGGAGCTACATCTAATATGCTTATGCTGGGAGGGTCATCTTGACCCTTCTTTCTCTTTTTCTTACCGATCTTTCTTAATAAAATCCTCTAATCAGTTGCCAATCAAAAATAAAAGTAAAAAGTTGTCCTGATGAAGTTCTTCGCAAGAAATTGAGAGATCTTCCCTCAGAAACTATCCAAAATAATAAGCTCTTTTTTTTTACATCTGTGCAACAAAAAGCACACAGCATAAACCTTCACAACTCTTTTTCTTCATATTGTCAAAACAAACCATCCAGCAATAAGCAAATTACCTTAAGCAAACATCCACCTTATGCCTCAGGAAACTCTAGCACCGTCATATGGAGATCAAAGTTTCGATGCTCAGCAAACCTTGCTGAAAATCACATTTATTAGGGATTACAAGGCCTCTCTGAAGAAAACCACAATAACTAATGCAAGAAAGGATCTCATTCTCGGAGGTATCAGTTCAGAAGGGCAAAACAATGACCACCAAGCTAACAACTCACGATACAACACTAAAACAAACTTTTTTTTATATAAATAAACACTTAAACAAACATTTGGCAGCAAGAGATATTTTTTGATCAATCATTTGGCAGCAAAGGATCATTGCAATATTTGACCATTATTACATTCAATGATATYCCATGGCCCATCTCCAAAATCATATCTGTTTGAGAAAAATCAGGTAAAGCCAGCATCCCACAACCAAACTTGAACTTAAGGCTCTTAAGCAAATTAACTAGTAGATACAATAAAATATTATGCAGATATAAGCATATAGCTGAATAAACCCTTCTCTAAAACCGAAATTCACAAGGTAATCTGGGGATAAGTCTCCAAGCCCTGACAGCTTCACCATGTTTTACAAAAGACACTGGAATGTGTCATAAAAGAACATTTGTTTGAAGTTTTCCAGGAATTTCACTCTATGGCCTCTTTAGATAGGAGCTTGAATTCCAAGAAAGGTGGGGCTGCAGATCAGAGATTACTGGCCAGTTAGCCTTGTTGGGAGTGTCTACAAAATTATATCTATTTGTTAGCTACGAGACTCCAAAGGGTTTTGGGGTTCATGAGTTAATCATCTACAAGTCTCAAAGTTCTTTTTGTGGAAGGGAGACTCACTCTTGATGGGGTGCTCATTGCTAACAAGTTGATCAACTCCAGAATCAAAAGTGGGAAGAGATGAGTGCTGTTTGAGGTGGACATTGAGAAAGCCTTTGATCATGTGAACTGGAACTTCTTAGATTATATCCTCAAAAGGATGGATTTTTGGGGCCTCCGGAGGATCTGGATCAAGGTATGCACCTGTACTGTATCCTTCTCCATTCTCTTTAATGATGCTGCACATTGACAGTTATGGAGGCTTTGAGCAAATTAACCTCGAGGCTTCTAGTGAAGGTTTCATTAGTGGTTCCCAAGGAAAGGAAAACCCCTCAGCCATATCATTGCTCAATCACCAAATACTCTATTTTTCTATGACAAACAAGCACAACTCCATCTCAAATTTGTATCATGATGGTTCGAAGTTGTCTTGAATCTTCACATTAACATGCACAAGAGTGAACTGCTGATGGTGGAAAATTCAAGTGGTGAGGAGAAGCTAGCTAAGGTTCTTGGTTACAAAGTTTGAAGATTACCTGCCACTTAGAGCCAAATGAAATAGCAAGATAATTTGGAACCAACTGCAGGAGTATTTTGATGGAAGATTATCCTCTTAGAGAGCTTGATTTGGTCAATTTGGGAACGGTATGCACCCCTAAGAAAGCTGGTGACTTGGGTGTTAAAAAGTTGAATCTCATGAATACAGCTTTCATTGGTAGATGAAATTGGAGATTAAACACTGATAGAGGGTGAAGGCGAATCATTATAGACAAATATGGTACTAGCAAAAGAGGTTGGGACTCAGGCCCATCCCCATCTCCCTATAGCTATGCTGCATGGAAGGGAATCCTAAAACACCACCAGCAGTTTTTACAAGGAACCAAATACCAGATTGGGATTTGGGAATGGCTCTAGGGTCAGTTTCTGGGTTGACTCCTGGTATGACAACACACCTCTGAAACAACATTCAAAGTATTGGGCACTTCCCAACACTCTTCTCCATTGACCAAGGCAAGGAAGAGCTTCAGTGAGGAACTGCTTTGAGTGCAGGGAAACAACATCTTTTGGTCACCAAGGCTCATAAGGCCTCTTAATGTTTTAAAAGTGCAAGGCACAAAAAAGGCGCAAGGGCCAATTTGCACCTGAGGCGCAAGGCGCAAAGTGAGGCGCACGCCTTTTTGAAGCAAGGCCCGAAAATACAAAAAAAAATGTTAAAAATAAAAAAAGCCAAATTTTTCGAAAAAAATGCAAAAAATTCAAAAAATATTTAACATAATATTAATAAAAAATATAAACTTAAATTCTAAAATAAATGTTTTAAAAAACCTATTATCTAAAATTAAAATACATAAACATAACATGCAAGGCATATTCAAATGAAAATTTAAAAATAAAATCAAACATAAAAAAAAAATTCAAGCATGTAAAACCCACAACCTCTTTTTTCCTCAATTGCACTACTTCAAGTAGCTAATGTGATGTAAAACATATTACATTCCAGATTCTACGAGCAACCTTTGTTTCACACCCCTTGAGGCAAGCCCAAACAAGTCCATGTTAGGGTCTTAAATTCTTAGTTCTCACACAAAAAATAATGATCTTAGAATTTTAATCGCTTTTTAAGAAGATATTTTATTAGGACGAATGAATGAACAACATTAGCAAATAGGGGGTTCTCGGAGCTTCAGTGCATGGGGTCCAGGGGTGGAGCCCCCAGCCCAGTCACTAAGTTCAAAAAAAATAAAAAGGCATGAAGTTTTCAAAAGGTGCACGCCTAGGCACACCAGGTGTGCGCCTTTTGAAAGGGCTGCGCCTAGGACCTAAGCAAGGTGCATACCCTAAATTGCACCTCACTTGTGCAATGTGCACCTAGGTGCACCTTTTAAATCATTGATTAATGATTGGGAAATTAGGCCATATTTTGAAGTCCTACAAAAAATTCCAAGCTGTAGAACCTAAGCTGGACCAGGAAGACAGCAGAACCTGGACTTGGAATTCAACTAGGCAGTTCACTGTCAAATCTTTTTTTTTAAACAAAACACCATGCTCTCCATGGTCCCTTCTCCCAGCACCATAATATTGCTATCTTTGCCCGCCTCAAAAATCTCTTTTTTGGCTTGGACTGCTGTCCATCAAAAATGTCCCACAGTTGACAAACTTTTGTTGAGAGGAATGGCTATAGATAACATGACCTGTGTTCTTTGTCAAGAGGCTGCTGAATCACAGTCATCTTTTCACTGTAAAGTCTCTTCTGAAATTTGGGGTGGTCTTTGACATTTTTGGAATCCATTTCTGCTTCCCCAAGACTCTTGAAGCTATGCTATTATGATGGCATACAAAAGGACTCAGCTTCAGAGGTTCAATAGTTTAGAAGTTACTTCCTCTTGGCATGAGGGCCTAACTATTTGAAGAACGTTGATCAGTATGGGGGGGGATGCACATAATGCATCAGTTTCTTTTAAAAGTGATGAGCACAACCAAAGCATAAGGGGTATAGGCTGATTCACAAGGCAAGTTACATGTCTAGGTAAAGTGAGGCACCACTTCAAGTGGAATAAACAAAGCAAAAATTTAATATACAAGAATCTAAATTGTCAAATAAATAAAATATAAGTTTATTAAATCAATAAGTTAGTGTTATTAATACAGATTTTGTTATCCTATTGTTCAAGTCCTACATGGGCTAAACTTCTTAGACTCTAAATATTACATATACAATCTAAAAAGTAGTAAATCACATATTCAATATTAAACTAAAGTTTAATGCATCAAAATATAGCAACAAGATAGGTGAGAAATACCTGGGTTCAGGCAGGGCATACCCCACAAAATGGGCCCTGTCTGTGTGCCTAAGCTAAAGACATGCCTTTTAAACACTGGACTGTATTCAAAGATAGGGTCATGGCATTTTGGAGAATAGCCCACAGGATTTCAAGTGCTTTAGCACTCTCAGGTTAAATCTTTGTTTGAGACAGTTTGTGGAACTGACAGAGAAACGCATCAGTCTTTGCATTGATTTTCAACTTGTAAATCAGCTTTTATGTGCCTTTTCTATGAAACACACAATATGCTTAATTAAAAGAGCATATTCAAATCTGTGTAACAACTTTTTCATGTGCATGGATGGCATCCCTAATACCTGCTAAACCTTTGCAGTTTACCTCTAACCAAATTTCAGATGAGACCTTGCCAGGTTACATATGAATTTTTTTAAACATTTCAATTACCACTGTTCATAAACTAGCATGTGGAATAATGCTAATCAAGCCGCCATCTTCCATGTAAAGATATACCCAAATTAAAACACTGGCCCACTATCCTAAGACTCCATTTGGGAATAGTGTAATTACAAATATGTTTAATGAAAATACATATGCTGCCATTTTTCATGAACCATGCATATTTATATTTGCACTGGACATATTTGTATTTGCACTGTTCCCAAACAGAGCCTGCTACAAGATGGTATGAGAGAGAGATTCAAATAGAAGATATAGGCAGATGGATAAATCAGAATCCATGTAAATAAGAGTTTGGCACTAGTAAGAAAGTTGAAGGGGAAGAGATAAGGGCAGGTCAAAAAAGATATGAGTTGAAGCAGTGACTAATGATTTTGAGGGCCCACAATTTAACAATAAATAGAGGGGGACAGCCAGAGAGAGAGAGAGAGATCTTACAAGCCATTTATGAAATCATACAAGTCGCATTACACATGCTTGACAGACAGAACACAAACTAGAAGAACACTACAAAAAGTAACATATGGACAATTTCCTCAGTCATAAAAAAGTAAACTGAAGTTCATGGATTTACAAACAAGTGAGAATGACAACCCTGGATGTCCATCAGCAATTTGAATTATGGTAACACCTTCACCTATGACCAAATAAGAGCAATGATTACAAAGAGACCGACCATCAAAAGTAGTGTCTTCAAATAGGAATCCGCCTGTTGCCCTTGAGTTGTAGGCTGAGGGAACCCATGAGCATGGCCCCCATGAAATGAGTTAGAGAATCCATAGGGAAAACCAGCAGCAGCACCATAGACAGTAGCATCGGGGAAACCATGCACCTGAAGATTAAAGAGGGATGGAATCAGACCACCAAAAGCTGCAGATAGAGTGAAGTTTCCAAACCTAGCTGTTGCCATTGGAGGGAATCCACCCATGAATCCAAACCCATGCTGAGGAAAATGATTTGTGTCCGGTGGAGGAGCTGTTTCGGGTCTTTGCCCTGCTGGACGATTTGGAATGTTAATGCCTGGAATTGACTTAGATCTTGGATCTGTTGGTGTCTTTCCCCTACCATAAAGAGGAACTAATTTCTCCTCCTGTACGAGGGCCTTACAAACTGGGCATTCCTGGGAATGCGAGTGAATATGGAGCCACTTGTAAAGACAAGGCCAACAGAAGAGGTGGCCGCAAAGAGTCACGATTGGATCCTGAGCTAATTCAAAGCAGATGTTGCATTCAAAGTTACCAGCATCATTGCTACCACTGCCTGAGCAAGAARGGCTTTGCGGTGGCCTGCTTGTTGATTCCCCAAATCCACTTGCCATCTCCAGAACCTAAATGTTCAAATGCCTGTAAATCATATAGAGCAGAAATCAACACCAACCATACAGAGACAAACAATGTTGTTCAATTCAAAAATATCAAATCCAGATACAGATTTTAGAACACTGTATACGTTAAATCAAATAAATACTACTCCAAATAAACAAACAAATCAGAGTAATAAAATTCTAATATTAGAAAATCGAAACCTGAACCAAAAACATACAATTAGAAACCTCAATCAGAACTCAAAGATATATTACCCTACAACAAAATCTAACACATTCGCAAAACGAGAAATAGTCAAACGGATCGCTCTGAACCTTTTTCAATTGTCGCACCTAGATGGTTACATCCTTAAAAATAAAACCAGAAAAACATCCAAGAGCGGAAGTAGACACATCACAGGGTTACAGACTTCCAACCCCAAACCCCAATAATTCCATACCTAAACATTCCAAACTTCGTGCAAACACGTTAAAGAAAGAGGAAAGAGCATCTATTCTTGATCGAAAAGAAGAAAGAAGCATCGCTAGGGTTTCAAACTCTTAACATAAGTATAAGTATTATAGCATTAAATCAAAAAAAGAAACACGGAAGATTATGAACTTTACTATTAAAATCAGATCTAGCGTGTGGAATTCATAAACCTAATAAGCAAGAAGATGAATAAACACAATAAAATCTTAAGACAAAGTGTAGCACTAACCTAAAATCAGACGCAGGACGGCAGGAGGAGTGAAGAGAATCGATTTTTTCTTTTTTTCCCCTTTTTCTTCCCTTTCGCTGTGAACCTCGTCTCTACGAACAAGGCGAAGAAACGCGTTGGGAAGGTTCGAGGTGTCAATTCCTGTGTTTAGGTAAACACGGTTCAGACTTCAGAATCCTTTTAAGAGTAATATAGATTCCAGAAACATCGTCGCATCTCGTTAAATTACGTCTTTGAAATATTATCCGTTGGATTTATACATCATGACGCGCATTAGAAGGCTTGGTAAAGCGTTTCACTTTTACACAGAGTCGTGAATCGTAATGCTGGCTGTCAACGATAGTACGATGCACGGCCATCGCAAGCAAGCGTTGCATTTCATCTAGAAATGGCTGCACAGGTAGGGCTGCAAACGGATCGGATTCGGTAAGGATATATCCGATTCGACCCATTAAGAAAATCTGACTGATCCGAATCCGATAATGATCTGTCGGATTTTCAAAACTATGTTTCGAATTCAAATTCGAATATATTATYGGATATCCCATTCAATTAAAGTTATATTTATAAAATAATATATTATATTATTTATATAATATAACAATATATTAAAATATAAAATATATAATTGTATAATTATATAAATAATATATAGAATATACATTTATAATATGTAAATAATATATAATATATAATATTTCATTATTAACGGATCGGATCAGCCAATATCCGAATTCGATCCGTTAAGACAATGGGTTGGCTTTTCCGATCCGATCCAATTTTGTTAGGATCAGGAAGGATATCCAAACCCGCTTCTTAACGGATCGGTATCGGATTCAGATCATATTGGATCTGACTTATTTTGCAACCCTATGCACAAGGTTGTAATTAGATTGGATATAGTAAAATTCGAATCCGACCCGGGGGAAAAACTTGCATCCGAATCCGATCAAATTTGAAGTTTTTTTATTTAAACTCAAACCCTAATGGAGGATTCATATCAGATTCAAATTTAATCCGATTCCACTTTAATTTTAAAATAAAAAAAATAAATAAATATTTGACTATTTTTCAACTTTTATGTATAACAAATTAAGTAAATATATATTATCTTATATCTATATATATCTAATATATATATATATATATATATATATATATATGTATTAAAGGAATAATTTCAAGCCAAAGCCCCCTACAGTCAAACATGTGGCCCATCTACATTTAAACATTTGCCATTCCAAATATTAAAACAAAATGGACACGTGTCAAATTCCGATTAGTGGTAGTTCAAGAACAGAACCCACTAGACATGTGTCAAATTCTAATTACTGATAGTTCAAGAAAAGAGCCCACTAACATGTAGAGTGTAGCCCATCACCATGCAGAGTTGTGAGAAGTGGGAAGYTCTCACTTTCAATCGTTTCCTAAAAAAAGGAAACAGTTATTAACTACTAAACTAATTAATTAATTCCAACTATTGATTACTAATAATAATTACTATTGACTACATATGATTAATTAATTACAGCTATTAATTACTAATAATAAATAATCACTAATAATAATTAATTATTGATAATAATTTCTTATAATAATTATTGCTATTACTTAATTGCTAATAATAATTAATTATTGATAATATTGCTCATTATTAATTCAAAAACTAATTTCTTATAATAATTACTACTAATTCTTAATTACTGATAATTTATTACTGACAATATTGCTCATTATTAATTCGAAAATATAATTAATAAATATTTTCATAATGGTAATTAATAATTCGGAAATAATAATTTTATATTTATATTAACTCATATTAATTATGTTGAAAATAAATATTTAATTAATTATAACTAATCATATTATATTATTAATATCAATAATTATAATTAATTATTACTAATACCAATGATGATAATTATTACTTCAGAATGTTAATTAATTAATGATAATTAATAAGCATTTTAAATGTCAATTACTAATTGGGATATTTTCATTTTATATTAATATTAATTCATATTAAATATTTTATAGATATATAATTAGTGTTACTTATTTACATTATTATTATTACAAGTAATTATAATTAATACTATTATTATTCTTTAATAAATACTTCATTTAGTGAAAGTTAAATTATAAAACTTCCAATTATTCAATATTGTTAAACTTAAAGAATTATAAAAGAAAATATTATTTTATGAATTAACTAAAAATCGTAATTATAACAAATTAATTTCTTAATAAAAACAAAAATAAAATAATAATAATAATAATATACTTATTATTATTACTGATTTCATAATTATTAATATGATATTAATCTGTTAATAATATTAATTATTATTAAAAAATGTTAATAGAAAATTTTAATTACTTAAAATTATTTGGTGAAATTACCCATTTTAATTCAGACAGATAATTAATTATTAATTTTAATTTCTTAAAATTATTATTTACTGAATATTTTTAATTACTCTTGGATTTAACAACCTTATTTTTGAATAATTGGTTTTTTATGTTCAATAATTTTTTTTTGCAAAAATCCAAATAATTTTTCATTTGCAATGCTAACCATTTTATTTTTCTCTTATTCAGTTTTCCAAAAGATAAAAATAAATAAATTAATGATGTTTACCTATTTTTATCAAATTATGTATTTATCAAGTTGTTGTCATCGATGATGACGATGATGAAGAGTCAACTTTTTCAAAGAGAGGGATACCAATAATAATTAATGACTTCTAACTAATTAATTTTAGATATTAATTACTAATAATAATAACTCACTGATAATAATTTCTTATAATAATTATTGCCAGTACTTAATTACTGATAATTTTTCTCATTATTAATTCAGAATGATAATTAATAATGATTTTCATAATGGTAATTAATAATTCGGAAATAATCATTTTATATTTATATTAACTCATATTAATTATTTTGAAAATAAATATTTAATGTTTAACTATTTATATTAGAATTATTATTAGAAATTATAATTCATACATTTATATGAAAAAAATTAATTATATTATTATTATTATCAATAATTATAATTAATGATTACTAATAATAATGATTTCTGATAAAAATTAATTACTAATTATAATTACTTACTAATAATTAATTCCTTAATTATAACAATGATGGTTATTACTTCAGAGTGTTAATTAATAAGTATTTTAATAATGTTAATTATTAATTGGGATATATCATTTTATATTTATATTAATTCATATTAATTATTTTATAAATATATAATTAGTGTTACTTATTTACATTGTTATTATTATTATTATTATTATTATTATTATTATTATTATTATTATTGTTGTTGTTGTTGTTGTTGTTGTTGTTGTTGTTGTTGTTGTTGTAGTTGTTGTTGTTGTTGTTGTTGTTATTATTATTATTAGTAATTATAATTAATACTATTATTATTAATAATATTAAATTATAAACTTTCAATTATTCCTTATTGTTAAACTAAAAGAATTATAAAAGCAATTACTATTTCAGGAATTAACTAAAATTCGTAATTATAATAAATTAATTGCTTCATAATAAAAATAAATAATAATAATAATAATTTAATATTACTTATTTCAAAATCAGTATGCACATAATAAGAAGATAATATTAGTAAATAATAGTAACAATAATATCCTTATTATTATTATTGATTTCATAGTTATTAATATATTATTAATGTATATTACTCAATAAAGACATGGAATAAAAAAAATATTCAAGTTACCACTAAATGAATGAACTAAAAATCTATGAGTATTCTAATTGACTTGAATTTGACACATCAACATGCCCAAAATTATAATTTCAACCTACATTTCATATTTCTATCTCCCAATTCCCATAATTCAAACATACCATTAGGTTATGTACAGGTTTCCCTACCTTTTCCTAAAGATAAATTCTAGCCAGTCTACGTGCACCGTGAGGAGTTTAAACTTAAAATCCATAACCATGATTGACCAAAACAAGTGTTGCTACCTAACTTGGATGTGACTTCCATACTCAGGATGGTCCCATTATTCTCCTTTCTTTCATGTTTCTTCTGTTGGATGGGCTTTGGAATCCTAATTATATTATCAGTTGATTGTAACCATACATGATAATGATTTGATTGTAGTCATATATTTTTCATCTCTTACTTCAGATGATGGATGCATCTACAAATGTTGTTTGGCATGGATTGTTTTTCTTAGCAGCTCTTTAAATGATTTTCTTCCTTCTTTGCCTCTTTGAATGAATATCATTTAAATGTTGTTTATCCATTCATATATCCCTAAATATTAAGCAGTATTGGTGATATTGTTGTAAACATCCATCTAATTTTACTATTTTATAAATACTTTAATGATTTCAAAGTTATTGATACTTTTTGGGGGTGGGTTGCTCAACAGGACATTGATTTTTTATTGTTAAATAGTAAATTTCAAATTAAATGATACTGTAGTTGCCCTTTACTTAGTATGGGGTCATTGTCTCGATAAAACATGGTAAGTCTCTTAAATTAAATAAAGAAACTACCCTAAATGTCTATTATAAATAATTAAAAAAATGAAATAATTCAAATTAAATCAAATAATTACTTGCTGAAAATTACTGGATTAAGTAAATAATAATAATAATCAATTATTTATAGAAATAATTAATAATAATAACAATTATCAAGTACTTAATTAAGTAAATAATAAAAAATGAAATAGCAATTATCAATTATCTTTAATGTTTATTCAAAGCATGCCCATAATAATTATCGAATGCAGTAATTAAACCTTAAATAAAAATCAATATTTATTAACAATCATTAAAATTGTTAAGCCAAATCATTAATGTTTATTCTTAAATGCAAAATATGAATTAACAAATCTATTATATAATAATTATACTCGGTTGGAAAAAAATGATTTTAAGTAAATATTTAAATAATTACAAACTTAGTTATTATTACTATATAACAAAAATTTAAATTAAATACTAAAATAAATTAATAATAATAAGAATGGTTAAATTAAAGTAATAAACGGTTCAAGTTGAATTTAATGACCCGTATAATTTTACGGGTTTGACATATAAGGGTCAATTTATATGGACTCGTAGACTGTATGAATGTCTTAAAAAATGGTAGTTTATAAATAGTAATAAAAAAATGGTGATAAAAATCATTAATGGGTGGGATGAGAAAAAGGGACTCATATTTGTTTTGAGGGAAAGAGGGGTATGGGATGAGAAAAAGATGGGATGCGAGATCCCAAAATCGTGGATTCGGGGTCGCACAAAAACAATGCAACCCCGGTGGGAAAACTCGAGAAAATGACCATGTCGAAGGTTCCATGCGCATTAACAACAAAGTTTATGCCTTTAACTCTTTCTTCTTCTTTTATCAGTTGAACAATCCCACTCACTACCTCTTCTTCTTCTATCTGTGTCTYTGTGTCATGGGGAACTACATCTCTTGCATGCTTGCCAACCCAGCAGAAAGACAGTCAAGAGGTGCAAAGGTGATCCTACTAAGCGGCGAAATCCAACAACTCGACGGTCATGTCAAGGCGGCAGAACTCATTTTCGAGATATCCAATTACTTCTTGGGGAATTTCCGATCACTGCAAATAGGACGGAGGTTCTCTACGCTTAGCCCCGATGAAGATTTAGAAATGGGTAACGTCTATATCATGTTTCCAATGAAGAGAGTCAATTTTGTTATCAAAGCAGCAGACATGGGAGCCTTGTTTATAAGTGCGAACAGGGCTGCCAATTGGGCTTCGAGTACTGGGGCGGTGCACATCGTGTCGAGTACTGGGGTGGTACGCATCGAGAATAAACAGAGAGGTTGAAACGAGAAGAAGAAGAAGAAGAAGAAGAGAGGTGAAAGAGAATGGGAGATGAAGGGGGTAGCTGTCGCCTCTATCGTCTCAAACGAGGAGGAAGGTGAACAGTGCCATTTTGGTCCCCTTTTACACTTTCCCATTCCATCCCACCCAAATCTTCCCACAAACCAAATGAAAGAGTCTCAATTTTTTTATTTTGATTTTTTTTTCATTTATTTGCTTATTTTCATTTGGATTTTACAAACATAGTTGGTTTTGTCCGTCATTCTCAAAGAGGGGGCTCTAGCTCAAAGCTTAGGTTTAACTATCAAAGCTCCAATTGTTCTCCAACACAAATAGGGTACAAAACTTTTCCTCTTTTAGATACATTTTTCCATAGTAAATATGTTGTCTACCACTCTCAAGTGCTTGCGCCTGCAAACATTAGAGCTCACTAGCTTATGAGGAGCTACTCATTTTCAAAGAAAAGAAATCATGCTCAATAGGACAAAAGTGTTAATTCCTCAATCCCTCTCTGGCTTTGCAAGTTTCTAGCACCCTCTCTTTTTTTTCTCATATTTTTATGATTTCTTTTTTCTTATTTTCTTTACTCCCCCTCCCCCTCCCCCCTTGGATTGCTCTAAGGATTTCTCTTTTACAATTGGACTCTTTTTTGGTGTTTGTAGCGATAAAATTACAGAAAGTCATTGTCTCAAATCCCTATATAATAAGGTTTGTAATTCTTTCTCCTTTTTTTTTTGTGCTAGGGTTTAAAGTTTGTAATTCTCTGTTTTCCTTTTATTTACAATTCATTAGAAAGCATTATTACGGCATCAAATCCTATAGTTAGAAAGCTACATTAATAAATAGATGGATTCACTACCTGAAACCCATGACACATAGGGTCTACTTCAGATTTTCGTCTTCTCTAGTTAAATTTCTAAATATCATTGTAGATTATTGTATGCTTAAATGACATCTCTTACTCTTGAAGACCACATCTCTAACTAGATTAGGATGTCTTCTAGCAATGTAATTAACGTGCTTCTCGACTATGACATTGTATGCAACAAGAATCACTATTCTTAGTGAGGTGTCAATTGCCATAACCTTACTCTTTGTAAATATTTTTTTTGGATTATTTGAGCTCTCTTTTCTATGCCTAGGAATATGTCAAGTTTGAATTTGGGTGGGGAGGTTTCACCCTCCATTGGAGCCCTAAAGAATTTGTATGTGTTTTTTCATATTTCTTCTCCTATTTCTCATTTGCTTTCTTTTTTTTTCATGTGAATTAACTCCCTTTATTTATAGGAAATTTCCCGATTAATACCCTTTACTTTGGGCCTAGTGCCACTTTGGTCCCCGAACTTTAAAATGCGACAATTCAGTACCTGAACTTTCAAAACATGACAGTTCAGTACCTGCTATTAACTAGCTGTTAATCAGCCATTAAGTGGCATTTGAAAAAAACACAAATGCCCTTCAAGTGTCATCTAATTTTCTTTATCAACCATCAAAATATTGACAAAAAATTAACAGTTTCAGATCCTTGACTCTTCTATTCAAGAAAGTTAGGGTCACCAGAATGCCCATTCAAACGTGACCCCAACTTTTTTGAATGGAAAAGGCAAGGATTTGGGACTGTTAACTTTTTGTTAACGTTTAGATGGTTGATAAAGAAAATTAAGTAACACTTGAAGGGCATCTATGTCTTTTTCAAATGCCACTTAACGGCTGGTTAACAGCTAGTTAACGACAGGTACTGAATTGTCACGTTTTAAAAGTTTGGGTACTGAATTGCCACATTTTAATGTTCAGGGACCAAAGTGGCACTAGGCCCAAAGTATAGAGTACTAATTGGGAATTTTCCCTTTATTTATTTATGGGCAGTAAAGAAAAACCAACTAATCAATAAACAAATTACATTGACATTCTACAAAGTTTCAAAGCATGACCATAGGACTTTGGAGATTAATCAGTTGGTGGGCTGAATACCTTCAACTTTGTTTCAGATTCCAAATCGCAAAACTTAGTAAGTTAACTTAATTTTTAATGTATTTGTGCCTATGATGTTGATTATGGTTTTGCAAAAATCAGATCTCTAGCAGTTGTTAATTGAATACCCTGCACACCTTAACTGTCTTAGAATCAAGCTCATAATTTTCCTATTATTATTTGTTTTGGCTAGCCTTATAAGTCCTTTATTATTTAACATGAAGATTTTATAAAATACAACTTAAGGGAAGTAGGACAAGAATTATAATCATGGGTTACGATTGACAGCAAGAATTCCCTAAAAAAATTGACATGTTTTAAAAATTGGCAAGAAAGTATTTATCCACAAATTCCTTAAAAAAATCTACTAATACTATACATTAATCTTAACATAAAGAGTGATTATAAACATGATGATCAACTCTGGAAGATGAAGATTTGTCTCGAAATAATCCTTCATCATGTTTTGAAATGGAATGCATACACAAGATGCCAATATGTTAGGCTTGCTACATCTCAAGGCTACTCCAACCCTAACCTTACTCCTTTAGCTCTAAGCCAGTAAGCCAGCCAAATTGCCCTGCTAAAAAACCATCTGTCCAATGCAAACATGTCCTGACTTGACATGTGCATTGGAAATTTGCCACTCTTATTGTGGGTGCAGCCAAGGTTTTAAATTTTGCAATGTATCGACTGATACGTATCGTTTCGGAAGAGTTCCAATACACAGAACAAGTATAATTAGATGGTTTAGTATTTTTTCATCTGTATCAGCCTCATATTGGACCGTTTTGGGTATGTATCGGCCGATACAATCGGGCCGATACGCATTATATATAGCCAAATTTAATTTCCCTCTCCTTTTTAAATTTAAATTTAATTCATCTCCTCTCATTAATATCTATTTTAATTAAGCCTTTAAGTTTGAGAAGTCACTAAATGCTAATATTACCTTTAATTACGGCATTTAATATGTCATTAAATGTTAATTAAGTCAAATAACTTATTAAAAATCACAAACCGAAGGTAACCAAATTCGAACCTAAGTCATTTGCTTACAACAATAATTTATTAACCATTATGCCAACTTTAATTGCTTATTAAAATAACATGTTTTTTTATACTTAAAGTAATCTTTCTTGCCTTGGTGGATGCTTCCCAACAAATGCTAAAATTTGATTATTAATATTTATATAATAACAATATGAATACAAATTATATTTATTTATTAAAAATTAAGGTATATATTAACTTGTATACATAATAAATATTATCTAATCTATATATAATAAATATTAATTAATAAATGATTTAAAAAAATATTAACTAATAAATTAGTATATATACACATAGATTTTAGTTCTTCTATTATTTTTCAGCAGTTAGTAATTATATCCCAATACTTTATATAAATCATTAAAGAATGGTTTTTATGATTAAATAAATTAGCTATAATCACATAAAACTCATTTTTTATTGTTGTTCATATTTTTTAAGGATTTTTTTTTTCTAGTGTATCCATGCATATCTTGATTTTTCGTCCGTGTCTATGCGTTTCCAAAGCGTATCTCTCAATACGTCTCTTAAAATTACCTTTCTGATACACCTTGCATTTTTGATACTTTGAACCTTGGATGCAACTTAGATTGCAACGAGGYCAATTAGATGTAACCCAAAAATAACAATTGGGTTGAACAACTTAGCCCAATTAGAAATGTTATAGGACCCGTGCTTCAATTTTACTTGATAAAAGATCTTGGTATAGATAGGATTCAATCCTATGTGTCCACCATTACATGTATGCAGCCAAGTCTTTGTATGCATACATGCTTTAGGTGCGCTTTCATTGGCATTTTTTTTTCTCATGTATTATTTTTTAATGTTTTTCTACTTTTACTTTTTGTAATAATTCATGCCACATTAAAACGGAATGGGATCTGCTCCTCACACATGGGCACCTCACAGGGATGTGAAAGGGGGCATAAGGGGAAGGGATGTGGCTGCATGAGAATGGAGTAAATAGCCTATACACGTGTGGAGTTTGGGGCATGTGAAATTTACCATTATAAATTTGATGCTAAACATGCAATTAATTACAATAATGTCATTGAATAAAATAGAAAACCAATGATAGCTTGTCTTTTCTCCTTTTCCTCTTTAATATTTGATGCTAAACTTGTAATTATTTACAATGGTCTCACTGTTAACTATTTACAATGATGCCATTAAATTTATACCTTAATCATATTTATTAAAAATTATCATTCTCTCTCACTTTACATACAATCAGGCCGTGCAAGGCCATGTCGTGCAAGTTATGCTAAGCTGTGCCATGCTTCCCTTTCCTAGGATATTTTAGGGGTCAGCCCAGCACATCCCACGCAGGCCCATGTCGTGCCGCGAGCCAAGTCTTAGGCTAGGACGGGCCATGAATCAGGCTAAGCCAGGTTTTTTAAAAGTTTTGAAAAAAATAATAAAAATTTTAATATAAACTAAAAATAGACAAAAAATTAAAAAAGATCTTAAAATTTTATTTTACATGAATTTTGATGTATGCAATTGTTTATATATGCAATAATAAAATTAAAAATAAAATCATATATTAATATATTATATAATTATTGTATATAATATACGACCTGAGTCCTCATGAGCCTGTGCCATACCGCGGCCCGGGTTGGTCCACGGGCCAAGTCTTAGGCCAGGTCAGGCCATGAACCGAACTAAGCTATATTTTTTGAAAATTTTGAAAAAAAAGTAATGAAAATTTTAACATACATTAAAAATAGACAAAAAAATTTAAAAAGATCTTAAAATCTTATTTTATATGAATTTTGGTGTATACAATTGTTTATATATGCAATAATAAAATGAATTAATATAATTATATATATTAATATATTATATAATTATTGTATATAATATATATAATATGGATATTATATATTATATTATAATACATATGGGTTGTGTTGGGCCGTTTCCACGGGCCATGCCGGGCTGGGCYGTGGGCAATAAGGCCCACTCAGTTG